AAGATAAACGAAAGGGCTAATCAGCCGAATGTAGGCCTATGATCTCACTAGCCTGAGGCAAAGAAAATTAAATATAACAAGTTAAATAGTATAATGAAGGATGAATAAAATGTATCTAGATGGATGAATGCATTAATTAATAAAAAGTGTAATATGTAATTTATCACTTATATTGCTGTTAGCATCACTATCATTTAGTATATTTTGTAGTCCTAGAATATGATTGAATTCCTCATAGCTTTGTATATGGTCAAAAATTACACTATATCAGATCTACAGGAATGTTCTTTAAGCCTAGTTATTAAACACCTACCGGTATCTGTTTTGCCTATATAGTCATTAGTCCTATTACATCCAGGACATTTAAAATGATACACAACAGAGCTTCTATATTCTTTAGGTTTTTAGTCAAATCACTGCTACACCTACTAGGATTAATTATGTGTGGTTGACACTTTTGGTTTGGTTCTATAAAAGCTCGCTCTTTTTTCATTCCTGATGATGACATAACAAATGTCGAAATATTGAATCCTCACATAATGGCGTGTATTTCATTGCTTGGAGTGTGTAAAATACTTTACTAACTGTTAATTGACAGGGATTGTTTCTCATAAAAATGTTTAATTGTAAAATTGTATTTATAGCAAATGTGTCCGAAATACTCGTAATTTGTCTCCGAGCATTTCTAAACGTGTATATCCTTCAGAATCATTATTGAGGGGCATACATTAATTGCTACAACAAGGGCCTATTCAAATAGCCAGATTCAATATTATTACTGTGCTTTTTTATACTCTTGAAAGACCATGCTGTACATAAACTGTGTCTAGTCATATGGATATTATTACAATTATAATCCATTAATTAAACTATTCCAAAACGCTATGCTATCACTGTGTATTCGCTTGGTGGCATAATTTAATGATTCTTTAAGAAAATCAAATTCATATAAATTCTTACCATTAAATTCTTAAATTAAATTTTATCGGCTCATATTCACTGAAGCGAAGTAACCTTCAGAAGCCTTTGTTATCGTTTAGACTCTCTCATTTTATAAGGGGTAATTAATAGGTCTACCTTTGGCTTTTTTAAGCGTTGTTTGAGTCTTAAATATTATTATTAACAGTAGTACTGTACTAGTTTAACAATTTTACAATTTAGGCTATAATGGTCATTCATATTTTACGACGCACTTTCCCTATAGCCAGCCTGAATCAGGCTATCCCAGACCTGCTCGATAATGGTACGTTCCTGCTTCTTACCAGCTGGCAGAGAAACCTACAACCGTATGTTTTAGATCCTTGTGTGCCTTTAAATTTACATTAAGTCAAATAATAACACTTAGTAAATGTTGACAACATATTACTTAATGAGTATGTAGAAGGTGAGAAATGAAATACCTAAAGGAAAATGGCCAATTTAAGGCAAAAGATACAACAGTACAACGCAGATTCATTAACAATGGCGGAAGGCTATACCAAAGCTTCGAATTTTCGCGGGCATAATGCCTAGACAGGACCGTTCATTCATAATAAAATGAGTGTTTTGACGGTGAATGTTTTCATCCAATGGGAATATATTTTATTTGAGAAGAACAAGATATTTGAGTGGTAATCATCCGAGATGGCGATTTAAAGCCAACGAAGTCGCTAAAAAGAGGTAAAAATGCAGCCTCTACACGGTGTGCGGTCAGCATAGCACAAAACGAAAAGTGAAAAATTACGGTGACTTTTTTCAAACAACACTGGAAACAAATACTAAAACAATCAGAAAAAAAATGCCTTTCAAATACCGAAGGGAACACAAATATCCGACAAGTATTTGCTGAGATACGAATGTGGAAATACGAAAATGACCCAAAAACAGCTTATGTCGGTGCAAAATACAGCGTGAAACACTAATTTGCTAGGCTATTCTCGCTCTTAAACGAAAATGTTGCAAGAAAAAATCTGTGAATCAGATAACTGTCCGATAAGCATATTGCAGATAGGCTATTCCAAAACGCATGCTATCACTGTGTATTCGCTTGATGACATAATTTAATGATTCTTTAAGAAAAAAATTAATCAGATAAAATGTCATATAATATGCTTTATATATTTTTAATATTAACATTATATATTTTTAATATAACTATTATTTATATTAAAAATATATAATGTTCAATTAAGATAATATCATGCATACCTTAAGAAAATATATATATATATATATATATCAATACAGTGGCGGTTCCAGCTCATGGTTGGGGCTGAAGTAAGAAAATTTACGATTATAGCATGGCAGGACATGGTACTTTCAGACTTAAAATTTGAAAATAATTTTCTTTCTTTCTCCAATGTTTTACAATTTTGAAAAATTTAGGGGGAAGGGCGGGCCGGCAATATTAATGTACAATAATACACACGTGTGGTTCCCCCATAAATTTGATGGTCTTTATCTAATTTTTTGTGGTTGTTAAGTTTAAGTTTATACATTCGGTTACGCTTACATAATTGCCGTTATTACATTTACTTCAAAAACGACAGAATTAATTCAGCAAACTGGGTTCGGCAAACCGGGCTCCGACCAACTGGGATTCCATGTTTTCGATGACCAGAATTCGGCAAACTGGGTTTCGGCAAAGTGGGCTAAATTCGGCAAACCGGGTTCGGCAAACTGGATTTCGACCAATGGTCAAATACCGTTAGGACTGGATCATTTTTCGAATGCAGTTTTTCTGTGGGTTGATAATATATGCAGTATTTTTTAAGTTCCTAATTTAATATTCCGATTAAGTAATGCTAGACTAGTTAATTCATGTAGGCCTATTTCAAATATTTTTAGAGTACATCGTAATTAGTTGTAAACTATGAAATTTCTGGCTGTCGTTTGTATTTATATTTTGATATATACCAAAAAAAATTAATTAGATAACAATATCACTAGTTAAAATGACTTAGAAAACATGTAAGCTAAAAAACATTTATAACCAGCTGTAATAGTAGGCCAATATACAGTAACAATAACGAAATACTATGCATTTTATGTTGGTGTATCATAACAAAAAACATATAATAAGTCAATCGTAACGTCATCACGAACTCTCAATGTTATTTCCTATCCCAAACCGTGTACTATTGGTACATTGGTACACGCGATTTCATTGGTACACTCGATTTAGGAAATTTTTTTATGTTCGTGTGAAAAGGACAAAACAACTTATACAATGTACTATGAGAGAGAGAACAGAAAAAGAAAACAGACTCTCGCTCATCGTCGTTTGTTCAGTTGGTACTTGAAAACATTGCATTCGTAAAACAAGGTAAATTAGAACCCGGAGAAAGTCACTTCAAATTTAATATTATGTATCACTCGATTTAACCTGTCTGCACAGACCAAAATAGTGATTAGGCGTACTCTGTTCTTTAAAAGGCTCCAAGAAAATGTATTTCTTTGACGAATACCTATCAGAATAGAAAACTCATAACAGATTCTTCAAACACAATACAATATTTATTTATAATACTGTACTACATACTATTTTAACTGTAGTGCAAACCGTGCATCGACAACCACTGATCTCTATTACTGTATAGGTAAATTTCCCGCCTATTATATACGGTATAGGCCTACAAGCGGTACTGGGTAAGACAATTTGATTTCTTGCTTCGAACAAGGCGACGTCCATTCTAGTGGTGACGCCAGGATTTGCCCGACGGGGGAGCCGAGGTCCCCGACGGGGGACCGTTGCCCCGACGAGGGGTCAAATTTCCCAGACGAAAGCAAAGTGGGCGTGGTCGAGCTTCGAATAAAATGTTCAGAAAGTGGTCCTGGGGGAGAAACCACGAAAATTTTGACAATTTAGGGGTTTCAAAGGCATATTTAATCGATTTTAAAGTCTA